ATTGAAAAAGGAAATTGGGATGACCAATATATCCAACTTGGTTTAAAGGAGGCAATGTTATAATAATAATAATAATAATAATAATAATAATAATAATAATAATAATAATAATAATAATAATAATATTATTATTATTATTATTATTATTATTATTATTATTATTATTATTATTATTATTATTATTATTATTATTATTATTATTATTATGTTAAACCAAGTAAGAAGAGTTAGTTTGTTAGAAACCAAATGGGAGCATTACATGGGATGGATGCAACATTATGTGGAAATAATGGGAACAGTACATGGATTCATGTTCCTTAATTTTAGCATTTGAGTTATTTTCATTTAGTATAAATAGTCTGTGTATTCAAGCATTTTAATTCATCAATCAAATTACTTATCTATTACTCTCTCTCTCTTCTCAATATATATTTAAGGAAAATTGTAAAAAATGCCCCTCTATAATATGTCAATTATTAATGTCACCCCTGAATTATGAGTGGTGTAAATGTTGCCCCTCAATTATCAAAATGGTGCACATATAGCCCTTCCCGTAACGGACATGTGGTTCCCCGTTAGTGTACGACACCGTTAAGTCGGAGTGAATATGTAATTTAGTTGTTTTTTCCCTCCCTCAATTCGAAGTAACAGCGATGGATGGCGGTGGGGAACCACAGGTCCGTTACGGGAGGGGCTATATGTGCACCATTTTGATAATTGAGGGGCAACATTTACACCACTCATAATTCAGGGGTGACATAGATAATTGGCATATTATAGAGGGGCATTGTTTACAATTTTCCCTATATTTAATATATATTATAGATATATTACATTATATTATATTTAATATATCTTACATATAGTGAAATTAAAGATATGATTTGAATCGTTTATATATTTTGATGTTATCATTGCTTGAATTTGTGCAAATAATTGCTCAAATTAATAGCTAATGTCTAGATGTACGGATGCGGTCCAGTAGTATTTTGATACATTAGGCAAATGTGCTCGTTCTCTATGAATTGCTATCCTTATTCATTTGTATGGAAGATATATTTTTTTGTGTAGATATATAGCAATTTTTTTATTTTAAAAAAATTAATATCACCGATTATATTTACACATTATTGAAACCTCTTGTAGACGACATTAGTAGTGACAACACAATCTTGTTCATCTTCGTCTAGAGCTAACAGGTCGAATATCACTCAAATAGTTATCCTTTTATATTTTCAGTTAATTCGTAATATAAGATTCATTTTCAACCAATTATTCTTTTTTATTTTCAGTCAATTAGTCAATTAGAATATCAAATACAGTGATATTTTTACCTAACTTTCGTTCCATTTTTAATTGATGATGTAGATTTTATTATTGAAATATTTCCGTTCCATTTTTAATTTACCTTTACTATAGTTTAAAGTATGCATTTACTATTGATAATGTAGAATATTATTATTGGAATATTTTCCTCCAACTTTTAATTTCCATTACATTTTTAATTAAAATGCAACGATCTTGCCATTTTTTTAGTCAATTATAGATCATTTTTTATTTGCAGTCAATTATTAATATTCATTTTCTTTTATATTTTCAGTCAATTAGTAATATTAGATTCATTTGCAGTCAATTATTCTTTTTTATTTCCAATCAATTAGAATATAGATGCAGTGATATTTTTACCTAATTTTCGTTCCATTTTAATTTATCTTTACTATTTTTTAAAATATGTCTTTACTATTTGATGATGTAAAATATTATTATTGAAATATTTCCTTTCCATTTTTAATTTTCCTTTACTTCTAACCACAAAAAAAAAAAAAGAAAAAAAAAAGAATAAGGAGAAGAAGAGACTTTGGACTTCTCAATACTTGCCCACATTTTTTTTTTTTGATAAACCTAGGGTTTCCACCGTCGCCAACTAAGTTGTCTATTAGTCTAAGTCCCAAGTCAAGCCATAAAGTCTACGAATTCTTAGCAAAATATACTTATCTAGAATGTTACTATTTGAGAATTATTTACTTTAGAAAACACTAAAGGATCAGGTGGTGAAGTGGATAAGGAACAAGGTGACTAAAATTAGAGGTCACGGGTTCAATACTCAATCTCTACATTTTTGAGTAAGAGATAGAAAAGGGGACGACGAAGGAGCTGATAGGGGACGACCAAGGAGCAGACTCGGATTAATTTATTAATTAATCTAAAATGCTACTAAATCCATTCTGGGAATAAAGATTAAATCCATAATTATTAACTAATGAGTTAATATGGTGTAATGGCCAAAACATAAGAGAAATATGTTGTTGGGCTTGTGTTCAAATCTCATTGAAAGCATATTTTTTAAAGATGACACTTGTTGAGTGCATGCTACAATGTGGACACATGTAAGGCTAAGTTGACTACAAGTTTGGACGCTTGTGGACATGAAAGCATATTTTTTTAAAGATGACACTTGTTGAGTGCATGCTACAATGTGGACACATGTAAGGCTAAGTTGACTACAAGTTTGGACGCTTGTGGACATGATATGGAAGATGCACGTGAATTCTTCTACACATCTTCTTTCTCATTTAAATCTCTTGCTACATATCTCATATCATTTCAGAAGAAGAAATGAACGAAGATATAATTTTTACTCAAGCAAGAATCAGCAGGAAATCTTTTGGAAGATTTCATCATTTTGAATCCGTCAAGATAAGGTAATTATTTTTCGGAGAAGATTCAGCTGATGAGCCGACATATACGACTTTGGAAGATTTGTCAGGTGAGGAATTTCAAACTCACTGTAAGAAGCCCATCTCTTGCATTAATTCACCGCAATGCAAGTTGGCAATAATGTGTAGCTGATAAAGATGAACGATCAAGATCAACTAAAGCTACAACGGTAATATAGCTTCTTCAGCTATATATACCAGAAGACTTGAAGACATGAAGCAGAGACTAGAGAGTGCAATACACAAAAAAGAGAAGGCAAGGCAATTCAAAGAAAAGCAAAATTCGAAAATATCTAGTCTGAGCTTACACGAGAGATTCTTCAAGTCATTAGAAGAGAAATTTGTTTTCTCTAAATCTTACCTCTACTGTGTGTAGAAAGAGGGTTGAGTGTAGTTTTGCGCAAGACACTACCCTATTGAGTGTAGCTTTGTGCGAGACACTCGTGAGTGTAGCTTTGTGCGAAACACTCGGTGGTGCTAAGTGTAGCTGGGTGCAAAACACTTAGTTGGTGTAGGAGTATAGCTTTGTGCGAGATACTCGGGAGTATAGCTTTGTGCGAAATACTCGGGATTGAGTGTAGCTGTGTGCAAAACACTCGGGAAGTGCCTGTGTGCACTTGATTCACTATTTGTATCTAGGTGAACGAGATAGTGAATTTCCTCCTTGGAGTGAAAGGAGAAGAGTGGACTAGGAGGATTACACCACCTCTGAACCACTATAAATTGCCTCTCTCATTTACTTACTGCTTTTATTTATTATTGCATGCATACTAACACATTTACTATTCGTCTTATTCATTTATCTTATTGATTGGGTTATGTAACTTTACAAGTGCATGCTGACACAATTTCATTTGGATTCACTCATTGATTCACACGTGATATCACACACATATTGAGTGCACATCTCTTTAAATATTCATTTGTTATCTTGCATGTTGAATATTTGACTGACCTATTTTATATACTGTACGAATTTATTCATCTGGGTCTAGTAGATTTCACGTTTGCATGTGGGCATAAATTAGAATACTTATTATTTGAGCCTTTGCAAGCTTATCCATAATATTGCATGTGATATATCTCTTTGATTTTACGTAACACATGGTTGTTTAAATTTTTTCGCTGCGCATCTAAGTTTCATATCTTGTTACTTAGAGTTGAAATTACCAAAGTGTTATTAATTGTGAAAAAGTTTAAAAAGTCTATTCACCCCCCTCTAGACTTTTTACCACCCTATCGGGACCAACAATTGATATCAGAGCGGTTGTCTATTTGAGTCAATTTTGACTACTAGACAGATCTCGAAAAATCAAGATGATGAAAAGAGATATGGCTCTTGCCCAAAATCTATTGTTTTCTCTAGAAAAATTTGATGATTGGAAAATTCGCATGCAGTTACATTTATCTGCACTACATGATGAAATGTGGGAAGTAATCACTAATGGTCCGATTGAAATCTTGCAAGTGAACATTGCTTCTGTACAAACAAGTGATACTCCACAATACGTTGCAAAACCTAAAGTGGAATGGACTCGTGAAGATAGAACACGAAATAACTTGGATAATATTGCCAAGGATATTTTGTTCAAATCTATCGATGATACGATATTTCCAAAGGTCCAAAAATGCCAATCCGCAAAAGAAGTTTGGGAGACACTCATCCAAATTGGTGAAGGAGACAAACAGGAAAAGGATAATAAACTCACCATAGCATTAAAGAAATTTGAGGATTTCAAAATGCTAAGTGGCGAGAATATTACCGACATGGAAACAAGATTTGCCAAAATCTTGGGAGAAATTAATGATCTTGGAAAAGACATTAATCAAAAGGAAATCTCACTCAAAATCCTACGTGGTTTACCGTCAAGTTGGGACATGAAAGTCACTGCCATGCGTGATCATAGAGATCTAAGGACTCTATCAACTGATAAGCTTTTTAGTGATCTAAAAGCCTATGAGTTTGAAATGAAGTCAAGGACGGAGGAAGAACGCGAAGAAAAGAACAACGCACTAGTTGCCGAACAACCGTCCACGTCAAGGTCAGTAGATAATGGTGAATTATTAAATAACGAAAACTTTGCTTTGTTTGTTAGGAAATTCAAGAGGTTTATGAGGAAAAACAATCACAAAATTTTTCCCAAAGCAAGCATGTCACGAAGGCACAAAAAGGAAACCATGGAAGATAATTCGAATTTATGCTACAACTGTAGAAAGCCTGGACACTTTATGGCCGAATGTCCTTATCCCAAGGTAAGCAAAAATCAAACTAACACCGTGCAGGAGGAAACCAAAGACAAGGATAGGAGATTCAACAAGAAAGACAAAAGAAAAGCTCTTATTAGTGACCCACTAGAAACAAGTGAGTCTGAGGAATCTTGTAGCAACGAAAGTGACAGTTCTACAGATGATAATGCACTATTTGGAATGAGCATGTCAAGCAATTCAAATAGTCAAGATTTATGTCTTATGGCACACGAAACAGATGATGATGAGGTAACTTCTAAATCTTTTGATTCTGTAAGTTCATCTTTCTCTAAAGAGTCTATCTTTCATATGATGAAGGATTGTCAAACCATGATGGACACTTACTCGCAAATCAAGAAGCACAATAATTTACTGATTCTTGAAAAAGATCAACTAAATGAAAAATTGCAAAATGCTCTATCTGAGATACGAGACTTGAAAGCCGAAAATATTCGATTTCAAGAGGAGTGTAAATCAAGGGAAGTGAGAGAACACAACCTAAGGGAAGTTATAGCAACGTTTACTCATCCATCCAAAATAATGGATAAAATGGTAAATATGCAAAAATCCTCAGGAGATAAAACCGGACTTGGTTATGATCCATCGTGTTCTCAAGCCTCCGAAAAATTGACCAATTCTACTACTGCTTTAAACAATAAAGTCCAAGTAGTAAAATTTGTAAAAGGTCAAGATAGCACAATGAGACAAGGAATTGGTTATCAAGCTAATGCCAAAGATGTTACTGCAAGGCCGAAGCCTCAAAGAAAATTTAATTCGCCAATGCAGTCAAATAATAGGCAAAAGTTTGTTCCTAAATGGAAATATACCAATGAGCCGAGTGCACAAAGTCCTCATAGGAAAATGGGAAGAACTCTGAACAAGATTGGTTTGATGATATTAAACCATGGACTAAGTCCAGATTTAATGCCTTTCATAGGCTCAAACAAATCTCTTCCCAAGTGCCAAAAGATCGAGTCAATTTTCAAAACCCGGCACCAAAACCTTTTTCAAAAATTAGATATGATTATAATGTTTTCAATGGTTACGAATCACCTAATCTTGGATCAATAAGAACTAGGTGGATTTGGGTACCAAAAAGGACTAACACTCAAGGATCCAAATTAAGTTGGGTACCTAAAAATGCATAAACTGTTTGCAGGAAATTTGGTACTTCGATAGTGGATGCTCTCGACACATGACTGGAAATAAATCTAGTCTTGTGGATTTTAAATACATCGAAGGACCAAAAGTTGTGTTGGGAGGAAATGATCGATAGGGTACAACCAAAGGAATAGGAACAGTATCCCGCAATGGTCTAAAAATAGAAGACGTATCCTATGTTGAAGGATTAAAGTTCAACTTGCTGAGCGCAAGTAAATTTTGCGATAAAGGCTATCTTGTAGAGTTTTTCAAAGACAAGTGTCAAGTGAAGAACGGATCCACAGGCGAGATTGTTCTAGAAGGAATCAGAAAGAAAAATATGTATGTTGTAGACTGGAGCACAACCAAAGACTCTGTGTGTCTTGTAGCAAACAACTCAAGCAATGTGGGTTGGGAATGGCACAAAAAGTTGAGTCATCTCAACTTCAAAACCATTAATAAACTCGTGACGAGAAATCTAGTCAAAGGACTACCCAACATCACCTACAGAAAGGATCAAATTTGCGATGCATGTCAGAAGGGAAAGCAAATCAAAGCATCCTTCAAGACAAAAACACACGAATCAAGTCAAAGACCTCTTAGTCTACTACATATGGATCTATTTGGTCCTGTGGAGCCAGTATGTATGAATGGTAAGAAATATACTCTTGTTGTTGTTGATGATTTTTCCAGGTACACATGGACGATATTTCTCGGGAAGAAAAATGAAGTAGAGAAGAAGCTACCAGAACTTCTCAAACAGCTTCAAAATGAAAAGGAAGTCAACATTGTCAAAATTCGTACCGATAGAGGAACAGAGTTTGTGAATAGCGTAATTCAAAATTACTGTAATACTCAAGGAATTATGCATCAACTATCAGCCGTAAGAACTCCACAACAAAACGGAGTTGCCGAAAGGAGGAATCGTACGCTTAAAGAAGCCGCACGAGTAATGATAGCTGCAGCCGAGCTACCTAAATGCTTTTGGGCCGAAGCAATCAATACTGCTTGCTATACCCAACATAGAAGTCTAATCTACAAGCTGCACGACAAGACACCATATGAATTGTGGAAAGGGAGAAAACCTAACCTTAGTTATTTTCATTCATTTGGTTGTAAATGTTTTGTTCTTAATAATGGTAAGAAATATCTAAACGTTTGATGAACGTGTAGATGAAGCAATATTCTTAGGATATTCTTCCACCAGCAGAGCATTCAGAGTATTAAATAAATCAACAATGGTGGTTGAAGAATCCATTCATGTCGTATTTGATGAGCTCTCGAAGAGCAAGGAATATCCGACAGTTGGTATCAATAATGAAAATAATACTAATAAAATTTCTGAAGATATTTTGCAGGGAAATAGCAATCTAAACTGCTCTGGAACAGAAACCGACGTGGAAGATGATATAAGGGAAGAAGTAAGGGAATGTGTTGGGGTTGGAGTTGGAACTAATAGTGAGGATCAACGAATGGATCAAATCGCAAATCCAAATCCTTCCACCTCACACGAACCCTCTACTTCTCAAGGAAGTTTTCAACCGGATTTGAAGTGGCTAAGAAATCATCCACAAGATCAAATCATTGGAGAAATTCATGATGGCGTGAGAACTAGATCCGCATTGCAAGAAACCCTATTTTCATGTTTTCTTTCTCAGGTTGAACCGAAGGACATAGATGAAGCTTTAAAAGATCCTAGTTGGATTGAAGCAATGCAAGAAGAGCTGAATCAGTTTGAACGCAATGATGTTTGGGAGCTTATTTCAAGACCATCTAATCACAACGTGATTGGAACAAAATGGGTCTTTAGAAATAAAGCAAATGAAGATGGAATCGTTGATAGGAATAAAGCAAGGCTAGTCGCAAAGGGCTACTCACAAGAAGAAGGAATAGATTTTGATGAGACATTTGCCCCAGTTGCAAGATTGGAAGCAATAAGAATTTTTCTAGCCTTTGCAGCCTACAAGAATTTTACAGTCTATCAAATGGACGTAAAAAGTGCATTCTTAAATGGCCTACTCGAAGAAGAAGTATATGTTGAGAAACCCCCAGGTTTCGAGGTAAAAGGTAATGTTGATAAGGTCTATAAACTAAAGAAGGCATTATATGGGTTGAAACAAGCACCGAGAGCTTGGTATGACACCCTATCAATGTTCTTAATTAGTTGTGGGTTTACCAAAGGCCTTGTTGACAAAACCTTATTTAAAATTCAAGAAAATGACCATATATTATTAGTACAAATTTATGTTGATGATATTATCTTTGGAAGTACTAATAAATTATTATGTGAGAAATTTTCTAATCTCATGCAGAACAAGTTTGAAATGAGCATGATGGGAGAGCTAAACTACTTCCTTGGACTGCAAGTAAAACAACTGAAGGAAGGAATACTCATAAATCAGGCCAAATACACCAAAGATCTCATTAAGAGATTCGGCCAAGAAGGAAAGAGCTCAGTGAAAATTCCAATGAGCACATCAGTCAAATTAGACAAAGACGATGAAGGCAAAGATGTTGACGAGACACAATATCGAGGAATGATTGGATCTTTATTATATCTCACTGCGAGTAGACCCGACATATCTTACTCAGTGGGTGTATGTGCAAGATTCCAATCTAAGCCAAAAGAAAGCCATCTACTTGCCGTCAAGAAGATTATCCGATATCTCAAAGGAACCATTAATGTTGGATTATGGTATCCTAAAGAAGGAAATTTTGAACTAACCGGTTTTTCATATGCAGATTTTGCAGGTTGCAAAATTGATAGAAAAAGTACCTCAGGAACGTGCCAGTTCTTAGGGGGAAGGTTAGTTTCATGGTTTAGCAAGAAACAAAACTCCATTGCAACAAGTACAGCCGAAGCCGAATATATCGCTGCAGGGAGTTGTTGCGCACATATTCTATGGATGAAGCAACAATTAAAAGATTATGGAGTCAATTGTAATGAAGTTAGTATTTTCTGTGATAATACTAGCGCCATAGCAATTTCTCAAAACCCAGTACTTCATTCAAGAACAAAGCACATTGATGTCCGACACCATTTCATACGAGATCATGTTGAGAAGAAAGACATCAAAATCGATCACGTACCAACAGAAAATCAACTAGCAGATATTTTGACAAAGCCTTTGTGCGAATCACGATTTATTACTCTAAGGCATGAGTTGGGCATGATCGAAATGAGCTAAGTATCACGTTCTCTATCCTTAAGCTCAATTTGTTTAATTTAATTTTGGTTATTGTGTTTATTTTATTTGTCACGTACCTATATGTGTTAATTGCATAATTGTTTGCGTTAATTGTGTTTTGCATGTTATGTGATTTTGTGTTAATTAAAATGCAATTTTTTTATTAAAGTATTTTTTTTAATTAAAAAAAAATTGTTGTCTTATAATTCTTAGATCTTAAGTACGTGTCTTATGTGATTTTACATGGCTTGTACGTGTCTTATGTGAAAGTTTTTATAAATTTTTACCCTACTCACTAGCATAGCCATCTGTAAGTCATAGAGTTTTTACCTGGCACATGTAAATTTACCTTGAAAGAAGGTTTGTCTTGTTTGTATAACACATGGATTTTGTGTCAGAGAATGAAATTTATTGTGCATCTACCCCATTGAATTTTGTTGAAATAATCATTATCCCTTTTTGACAAAATATTTTTTTTTGCATGTATTTTATGCATGTATCTAATTCATCTGGGATATCTTGAGCTGAACATACTTCTATACTAAATATTAACCAAATTACCCTCAATTTTCAAGACCCACTAAGCCTATCATTAAGGGTATTTTTGTCCATCTAGCCCTAAAAGACTTACACGACCCTTGGCCTTCCCAAACAAACCCAATTTCAAAACTCTTCTCTTCTTCTCTCTCTTTTACGAGACACCATAGCCGAAACCTCTCAAAACCTCTCATTCTCACTTCACTTTGATACCCACTCAAAAATAACTTCACAAATGACATCCTCAAGTAGAAAATCATCCAAAAATACACCACCCACAGAGAAAGTCAACACGGGACATCTCCTCGACCCAACCGATTTCAAGGAAGTTTGCACAAATCCAGTTCTTGCTCAAGAGATTTTTGATGGATTGGAGAAATGTGGTCTACAAAAGGTTTGCATGTTTCGCTATATGGGTATTTTTTATGATGAAGCATTTGATTTTTTCAAGCATGCTAAAATGAAGAACAATGTGATTAAATCTTGTGTTAATGGCGTACGGGTATCCATTAGTCAAAATGATATTAGGGAGTTGTTTGATTTCTCTAAGCATGATATTACTCTAGATAATTATTATTTTGATCAGTTTGAGTTTTGGACAAAAGTTCGAATTAATGACAGTTTGAATGTACCCAAATTTTCTGGGAGGAAGTCCGAATTGTTCAAATGGGAATTTTGTAAACTTGTTGAAGTTCTTGCCTGTTGAGCATATAGCCATTAATGTGCAATCCAACTATCAGCTTAGGCTTTTTGTTGAGATGGAGCACATATTCCAATTTGGTATAAGAGCCAGACCAAAAAGTCATGGGTTCAAATCTCAACGCCACTCATAAGCGACTACGGTTTACCGGTCCACGTGTTGCTTGGAACCCACCGCACACGTGAGGGGGCGTGTTGAGCATATAACCATTAATGTGCAATCCAACTATCAGCTTAGGCTTTTAGTTGAGATGGAGCACATATTCCAATTTTGCCAAGTGTGTATTGTGTAAATTAGGTGGATTTGATAAATCTACTTTACAAATAGCAAGTATGATGCATGCTGTGGTTCATGGAAAGAAATTGGATTGGAGTAAAGTAATATTCAACCGATTGGTTACCATGGTGGACAAAGAAGACAAGCCTAGTTATGGTCTCATGATTGGTGAACTCTTGAGAAAAAAAGGCATCCAAATGAAGGATAGAAAGTCAATTTTTTCTAGCAAGTACCTATTTCGGGTTAATGTCAAAAGAGAAAGAATTGAGGAACATGAAAATGAAGAAGAACAATTGGATGATGACATACCCTTAAGCCGTGTGTTTAAGAAGAAAAGAACACCAAGAGTTGAGATTAGAGACCAAGATGAGGCTGCTAATGTTGAGACAGTTGCTGCTGAGGAACAGAATGAGGTCTTGGATGCTTCCAACACCATCCAAACAAAAGAAATTGAAGCAGTTCAAGAAGAAGAAGCAGGGGATGATGCAGGGGATGACCAAAGAGATGACACTGGGGATGACCTTATGGCAGATTTGGATACTAACTTTGTGGCAGATTTGAACACTGATTTTATGGTGGATGATGAACCAGTGTTACCAGCTGATTTAGGGGCTGATCCAGAGGCCAAGGAGGGAGAACAACAATAAGATGTTGAGATGGATGGACAAGCAAATGAGGATGAAGTTCAAAATAATGATATTTTGAATGAAAATGAGGAAATTGACCAAGCAAAAGGTTCTAATGTTGAGGTGATCAAAGCCTTGAAGGAACTAAAAGGAGGCCATTGGAGCACATGTTGAAAAATCTAACCCAACAATTGTTGAGTTTTTGAATTCTTTTGTTGACAGGTTAACTATAGCCCTTGAGGAGGAAAGAAGTGCTCAAGTCAATCTTGAAAAGTCTCACCATGCCGACAATATGATACACAAAATTAGGCATGAGAAGCTGTTTTTCAAAGTGTGTGTGGAAGTTGAGGATCTACGCAACTCAATTGAAAAGATTGACACACATGGAGATGATATTCGTATGATCAAGAAGGAGTTATCCATAATTAAGGATTTTCTCCAAGGAATGGCTAGCACGGCTTTGCGTACCGACTCGGTGGTCAAGGAAATTGTAACCTTATCCAAGAAGGGCACGGATGTGGTCAAGGCGATTTTTGATGACACCAAAAAGGGGGAAAGAGAACAACACTCTCATTTTGGTGGCTCTCATTTTGGTGGTGGATTTGGACATGGTGGACAAGGCTCGAGCAGTTCGGGTCGTGCATACCTTCAGGGGGAAGGAAGTTCGCCAAATGAAGATATCATTGCATAATTTGCCGCACTCGTACCGGATGTGGACGAACTAAAAGAAGGAAGAAACATTTTCGAATGTGCCAAGTGGTACACTAGAAATGTCTTTCCATCAAGCAAGGGAGATGTACGTGGAGCTTTTTCATGCTATCTTAAAGGACAAGTGAAGCAATTATATTATCATGCTAATTGCAAAGGTAATTTCATTAAGCTAAGAGCTAGAGTAAATAGCATGATTGGACCGTAAAATGCTTAACTTTTCAGTACATTTTGCTAAGGTTGTAATATGGCTTGTTTGGATTTGATGCAATTAATCTATCTATTATCTAGTCATATTTTATTTAGCTTTATGCTTTTTAATTTTTAGACACATGTTTAGATTTGTAAAATGCAATTTGAGGAAAGAAAACAAGAAACAAGTTGACAAAAGAAATTAAAAGTAATCCTCAATAAATTGCAACATTGTTATGTGTCTAAAAGTAAAAAGTCCTTAGGTCCAAACTTTGTTAAACTCGTCAAATTGGCTAGTCAAAATAAAATAAAAGAAAGAAAAATAAAAGATTATTGTTTTTGACCGGACTAAGCCAAAATGTTCGGGTATAGGTTTTGGCATCATCAAAAAGGGGGAATTTGTTAGGAATAAAATGTAATAGTTTTGATGAGCCAAATTTGTATTTTTAAAAACCCCCTATTTTATTTTGAGTCTAAGTTGTCTATTAGTCTAAGTCCCAAGTCAAGCCATAAAGTCTACGAATTCTTAGCAAAATATACTTATCCAGAATGTTACTATTTGAGAATCATTTACCTTAGAAAACACCAAAGGATTAAGCGGTGAAGTGGATAAGGAACAAGGTGACTAAAGTCAGAGGTCATGGGTTTGATACTCAATCTCTAAATTTTTGAGTAAGAGATAAAGAAGGGGACGACGAAGGAGCTGATAGGGGACGACCAAGGAGTAGACTCGGATTAATTTATGAATTAATCTAAAATGCTACTAAAGCCATTCTGGGAATAAAGATTAAATCCAAAATAATTAATCAATGAGTTAATATGGTGTAATGGCAAAAGCATAAGAGATATATGTTGTTGGGCTTGTGTTCGAATTTCATTGGAATCATATCTTTTAAAGATGACACTTGTTGAGTGCATGCTACAATGTGGACACATGTAAGGCTAAGTTGACTACAAGTTTGGAGGCGTGGATATGATAAGGAAGATGCACGTGAATTCTTCTACACATCTTCTTTCTCATTTAAATCTCTTGCTACATATCTCATATCATTTCAGAAGAGGAAAATGAACCAAGATATAAGTTTTACTCAAGCAAGAATCAGTAGGAAATCTTTTGGAAGATTTCATCATTTTGAATCCGTCAAGATAAGGTAATTATTTATCGGAGAAGATTCAGCTGATGAGCCGACATATACGACTTTGGAAGATTTGTCAGGTGAGGAATTTCAAACTCATTGTAAGAAGCCCATCTCTTGCATTAATTCACCGCAATGCAAGTTGGCAATAATGTGTAGCTAATCAAGATGAACGATCAAGATCAACTGAAGCTACAACGGTAATATAGCTTCTTCAGCTATATATACCAGAAGACTTGAAGACATGAAGCAGAGACTAGAGAGTGCAATACACGGAAAAGAGAAGGTAAGGCAATACAAAGAAAAGCAAAATTTGAAAATATCTAGTCTGAGCTTACACGAGAGATTCTTCAAGTCATTAGAAGAGAAATTTGTTTTCTCTAAATCTTACCTCTACTATGTGTAGAAAGCGGGTTGAGTGTAGCTTTGTGCAAGACACTACCCTATTGAGTGTAGCTTTGTGCGAGACACTCGTGAGTGTAGCTTTGTGCGAAACACTCGGTGGTGCTAAGTGTAGCTGGGTGCAAAACACTTAGTTGGTGTAGGAGTATAGCTTTGTGCGAGATACTCGGGAGTATAGCTTTGTGCGAAATACTCGGGATTGAGTGTAGCTGTGTGCAAAACACTCGGGAAGTGCCTGTGTGCACTTGATTCACAATTTGTATCTGGGTGAACGAGATAGTGAATTTCCTCCTTGGAGTGAAAGGAGAAGAGTGGACTAGGAGGATTACACCACCTCTGAACCACTATAAATTGCCTCTCTCATTTACTTACTGCTTTTATTTATTATTGCATGCATACTAACACATTTACTATTCGTCTTATTCATTTATCTTATTGATTGGGTTATGTGACTTTACAAGTGCATGCAGACACAATTTCATTTCGATTCACTCATTGATTCACACGTGATATCACACACATATTGAGTGCACCATCTCTTTAAATATTCATTTGTTATCTTGCATGTTGAATATTTGACAGACCCATTTTATATACTGTACGAATTTATTCATCTGGGTCTAGTAGATTTCACGTTTGCATGTGGGCATAAATTAGAATACTTATTATTTGAGCCTTTGCAAGCTTATCCATAATATTGCATGTGATATATCTCTTTGATTTTACGTAACACTTGGTTGTATAAATTATTCCGCTGCGCATATAAGTTTCATATCTTGTTACTTAGAGTTGAAATTAACAAAGTGTTATTAATTGTGAAAAAAGTTTTAAAAGTCTATTCACCCCCCCTCTAGACTTTTTACCACCCTATCGGGACCAACAATGGATGACTCCCTTACACTCAACCACACCCTCCAGGTTACTTGCCCACATTGATGGGCAAGCAATTATGTTTGTAAGAGGAGCATTGCTCCTCTTTCCAAACATTTTCAATTTAAGATCAAAATTATCCACATCATTTACAAAGAGACTCTGTGACTCCCTTTTGTCTTCTTCATATTTTTTTTAAAAAAAATTAATTTTATTTTGTATACAGTTTTGTTGGGATTATTATTATTATTATTATTATTA